GCTTTTAAGAGTCATCAAAATTGGGTTTTCACAAACTAAAATTGGTCCCATGGTATCAGAGTACCAAGAACTCTGATTCAGTGTTTTCCTGAGGCTGTCTGCCAAGTGTCCTGGCATCCCCCTGACTCTGCCACCCCCACAAGCCAGAGAGCACTTAGCACCACATGGGCCACTGGTGGAGATTTCTGCTGTTTTCCAGAAGGCGGCTCTTCTGTTTATTCCCTGTTTAGCAGCAGGGCTATCTTACACTGGTCATAGTTTTCTATGGCTCCTACTCTTGCCGTTGAATTGAAAATCAGTATAAGTGATAAGTGCATCATCATGTTAGGTTTGTCTGACTTTGGGCCTCACAAATGGTGGTGGTGTGATGCATTTTTATCTCAGGTATATCTATGCATAGAATTATAATAACTACCTTTGATGACATTCTGCTCTGTGGACCCAATATGAATCATGCATACCACTATTGGTAGTGCCAGTGCTGATAGACTTGTAAGTTATAACCAGTGCCCCAGAGCAAGGTTGCTTCTCAATGAATGACACCTCATGATATCACAGAGTTCTTTTACCTTGAAAATCAGGGGAGGATAGGTAGCCTGTGGAATCACTGCTCTTCCTAACTGGACTGTAAACAAAACAGTTTATTTCAAATATAAGAAGTCACTTCCACTGTAGAGTGTGATGACATAGGTGAATGCAATTGTAAAAACTTATCAATCGTGCACTTGAGAGCTTTACCTTTTATTGAATAAAAAGTATACCTCAAAAAAAAAAAAAAACCAAACTGATAAAAATAAGAATAAGAGGCCAGAGGAGGAGAACAGGGGCTTTTGAGAATGAGACTTAAGAATAGGGAGGAGGTCCAGCCAAGAATGCATGGCCACAATGTAGTAAGGAAATGTCAGACAAACTCCAAATCAGGAAAGCTCTATTAACAAGCAGACGGGTCATGTACTCTTAAAAAATGTCAGTGTCACAAGAAACAAAGAAAGGCTATGGAAATGTTCCAGATTGAAGCACTGCAACCTGTCCTGGAGGGGAAAATGCTATAAAGAGCACCATGAAGATTAAATGACAATTTGATTATAGATGGTAGATTAAAGTACTGTCAATGTAGCTATATGAAACTGATAATTGTGCTATAGTTATGTAAGACAATATCTCCATTCTTAGGAAATATGTTTCAACATATTTAGGGGTAAAGACCCATCAAGTATGTAACTCACCCAGAAATAGTTTAGAAAATAGTTATGTATGAATGTGTAAAAATACATCTATATGTACACACACACACACACACACACACACACACACACACTCCCTATTGCTTACCTTGGGAAGAAAAGAAGAAAAAGGATAGGTTTGGGTCTTGTTGCCAAAGTCAGTTCAAGGTTTGATAGGTGTTTTTCCAACATCTGTACCTCCACGCAAACACGTTGTTATCAGAATCCCCTCTTTCAGTCAATGATTCCTGAAAGCCACATCATACCCATAGCTGATTCATGAAAACCTTGACTCCTGGTCAGGTCACTGTTACCTGGAAATGAATGGGGCTTAGGCAAAGTTTAGACACTGGGACAATTACATTGATTCAGTTGAATTGAATGCACACGAGTGAGAAGGGAGGGAAGTGAAGAGAGTGGGAGAGAGAACTCACAAAAAATAAGCAAATGAGCAAAAAGGTTGGCAATGGATAAATCTGGGTAAATGGTATGTATGGGCATTCTTTATACTGTTTTGCTTTTTATTCTTCTTTTGCAAATTTGGAATTATTTCCAAATAAAAAGTTTTTTCAAAAAAAATTGGGAATGAAGGCGCTAGAAGGAATTCCAAGAGCTTCACAGTATAAACTTGGGTCAGTTTGGAGTTGTGTCAGTATCCTGGTGATGGGAGTCACCGTGATAATTATACCGCACTAACAGCCATAAATGGGTAATTCCAAAGCAATAAAAGCTAGATTGGTTATGTGGCAAACCTGGGAGAATGAGAGAGAATTTCCTTATTGCTTACTCTGCAGAGAAAAGGAAAACAGTACAGGAATTTTGTTGACAAGGCCAGTTGGAGGTTTGATGAGTGTTTTCCCAACATCTGTACTTTCAAACAAGCAGATTGTTATCAAGATCCTCTCCTTCAATCAGTAACTCCTGAAAGCCACTATTTACCCATAGTTGCTTCATGAAAACCTTGACTTCTGGGTCAAGTCAGTGTTACCTGGAGACGAAAGCAGTTCAGGCAAAGTTTATACATTGGGACAATGACATCTATTCTGTCTAATGGCAAAATTTCCTCAGATGAACCAGGCAGTAGCACCGTGGATTTGGAAGAGGAAGGCATGCCTAGTGATCTCTCAGTGGACTTTCAAAGGCCATCATGTCTGATCTTGCTCAGAGGGGCCTTGTGCCCCCAACGGTGGCTACCACCCCGGCTCACCTCCTATGGGATCCATTGTGGAAGAAGTTGGCTCCTGCCCACACTGAAGTTGGCCTAATGGTTATGGCAGGGATTCACTCCCTTCCCACTCGCAGATGGAAAATACAGCATGGGTTTGTTCAAGCACACTTCCCAGGCACACAGAAGCCTCCCCCTCAACCTCACCTGCTTCTGGGATGAGTTAAAGTACAGATTGCACTTTATTCTCCAGTCTCCAGACTGTGGAGTCATGAAGCTGAATGCTCCTAACATTTCTGCTGGTAAAGATGGACTGTTTGGGGGACTTGGACATTGACCTATATGATGAAAGCTGTCTGCCTGTTTACCAGCATGTGTAAAACCAAACTGAAACACTGTACAGAGAATTAAACTCAGGTGGCAAAATAGGCTTGTGGTCACAGACAAACTTTATTCGATTTCTTTCCTGGTCATGTCACATTATGTTATTTCCTGGAGAAGGGAAAGTTAAGAACAAGAGCCTACTTTATCTGCACTGGGTCTGGAAGGTCTGTCTGGTCATGAATCAAAGCCTCATGGCAGAGAAGGATCCATAGCAGAGAAGACAAGCATCAGAGCAGGAGATGGGTAGCAAATGAGAGAGAGGCAGAGTCTCTGCTGGCTATGTGCACACCTAGAAGAACCTGGAGACAACCCCTGAGCTGCCAGCATAGACTACTGAGGTTAGACAAGAAGATAGTAGCCCTGGGTCCCAGGACTTTGGGGTCCAAGAGCCCCAGTTCTGCCCTACAACTGTTTAGGGCACAGCGTGGCCAGGGCTGGAGTAAGTCACTGAGAATATACCCAGCTCTCCAACCTGTGGGTCCTGCCACCAATTCATGTCAGCAACTTTGGTCTCAGTTGATAGCTCATTAGGCCCCTACAATGTTCAAATCACCATGCTGGACACTGTACATGTATTACTTTATGTGCACTCATGACAACCTCTCCCTCTTTTAACGTAAGGAAATGGGCTGAAAATGCTGACTTGCCAAGGTAAATTTCGAATTATTTCCAAATAATTTTTAAAAAATTATTGACTTTATTTTTATAAAATTATAAATATTAAATTATAGATTTTATATATAATTTGTAAATTATTTTCTTTTTTATTGTGCTTAACTTTTATTTTCTTTTTTTTATGATACTTTAAGTTCTAGGGTACATGTGCACAACGTGCAGGTTTGTTACATGTGTATACATGTGCCATGTTGGTGTGCTGCACTCATTAACTCATCATTTACATTAGGTATATCTCCTAATGCTATCCCTCCCCCCTCTCCCCATACCGTGACAGGCCCTGGTGTGTGATGTTCCCCTTCCTGTATCCAAGTGTTCTCATTGTTCAGTTCCCACCTGTGAGTGAGAACATGCAATGTTTGGTTTTTTGCCCTTGTGATAGTTTGCTCAGAATGATGGTTTCCAGCTTCATCTGTGTCCCTACAAAGGACATGAACTCATCTTTTTTTATGGCTGCATAGTATTCCATGGTGTATATGTGCCACATTTTCTTAATCCAGTCAGTCTATCACTGATGGACATTTGGATTTGTTCCAAGTCTTTGCTATTGTGACTAGTGCCGCAGTAAACATACGTGTGCATGTGTCTTTATAGCAGCATGATTTATAATCCTTTGGGTATATACCCAGTAATGGGATGGCTGGGCCAATTTCTAGTTCTAGATCCTTGAGGAATCGCCACACTGTCTTCCACAACGGTTGAACTAGTTTACAGTCCCACCAACAGTGTAAAAGTTCCTATTCCTCCACATCCTCTCCAGCACCTGTTGTTTCCTGACTTTTTAATGATCGCCATTCTAACTGGTGTGAGATGGTATCTCACTGTGGTTTTGATTTGCGTTTCTCTGATGGCGAGTGATGATGAGCATTTTTTCATGTGTCTGTTGGCTGCATAAATGTCTTCTTTTGAGAAGTGTCTGTTCATATCCTTAGCCTACTTTTTGATGAGATTGTTTGTTTTTTCTTGTAAATTTGTTTGAGTTCTTTGTAGATATTTTTATAAAATTATAGATTTTAAATTTTATGTATAATTTATAAATTATTTTCAATAAGCAGTAGAGCTAGGATTTGCAGCCAGGACAGTCTGGCTCCAAATCTCATATACATTTTGCCCCGCCACACTGTGCATAAGTGTGTACACAGACACATACACACATACACACACACACACGCATGCACGCGCGCGCGCACACACACACACACACACAGCATGTTGGATTTTCTAGCTTCAAGAAAGAGCTTAGTGTGGCTTGTCATAATTGATTCTAAACATTCTGAAGTCACATCTGCTTCGAAAGAAGTAGTGGTATTGACCTAAAGTAACTGGTGTTCTATCATGTGGCTGAGATTATCCCCAGTCTGGCTGTGTATATTGGCAGGGGCTCTTGTTGGGACCTCAGTATCCTGGTTTGAGCTGCCCAGGTCAGATTTGGTAAAAGTTGATGGGCTACATGAGAGGGAACTGTCAAAGGGCTGGGCTGGCTCCAGTGTCAGGGAATGTCCAGTCTCTTACGCCCTGGGTCACTTGCCACCTTCTCTCCCCTGTCTTTGCAGCCAACCTCGGTTTGAAGTCCAAGGCAGTGGCTCCTGTGGAGCAGCCAGCATACCAGGGGCCTGTGCACTGCATTACAACCATTGTGAGGAATGAGGGCCTGGCAGGGCTGTACCGGGGGGCCAGTGCCATGCTGCTGAGGGATGTCCCAGGCTATTGCCTCTACTTCATCCCCTACGTGTTCCTGAGTGAATGGATCACACCTGAGGCCTGTACAGGCCCCAGCCCCTGTGCCGTGTGGCTGGCGGGCGGCATGGCAGGTAAGAGCAGCAGCAGCTGGAGCTGTACCCCTGTGCAGGCCATGGCAGTGGGACAGCTGGGGAACTGCCATGCCCTTCTCAGCCCAGGGGGAGGGCAGGACACATTTAGGTACTCACCCAATAATTATTTGTTAGGTACCTACTGTGTCCCTGGTCCTCTCCCACCTCAGCCTCATCCCTTTTCCTATGCAGCTATGAGAATGGCAGTTCCCATTTGAACCCATTTGACTTTCAGGCAATGGATATATTTTGAACACATACTCTGTGTCAGGCATTGCTAAGCTTTGGAAAGGAAATCCATGATCATGGTTCAGTTTATTAAATGCAACCTTTGTGATGTAAGGATGCCATTAGTTCTACAAGGCAGGAATCAGTCTCCCCATTTCACAGATGAGAAAACTCAGGTCCAGAAATGTTAAGTAGCCAATCCCAGGTCACACAGCTGGTGCTGACAGTATAGCAGGGACTCTGCAGCCAGAAAGATTTAAGTTCAAATCCACACTTCATCATTCTGTGACCATGGCCTGGCTGCTTAACCTCCCTGCTCAGAATCCTGCACCACATCCCTCTTTCATTTAAGGTAAAAGTTGACCTCCTTGCAATGGTTTTCCAGGCTCTCAGTGATCTAGCTCCCTGTTCCCCACCCACCTCACTTCTACTCCTCTCCCCTTCCTCACTTTCTCCAGTCACACTCGTCTCTGCTGCAACTTGACCATGCCTGGCCCTTCCCCGACCACAAGGCCTTTGTACCTGCTACTCACACCTCCTGAATTTAACAATGTGGAGGCCACTGGGGATTTTGGTAAGGGCCATTTGATGGAGAGAAGGGTGTAAAAACCTGATGGAGTGGGCTCAAGAAAGAATGGGATGAAGGATATTGGTGCACCCAAGTATACACAACTCTTCTGAGGGTTCTGCTATGCTGTAATGAGGAACAGAGAAACAGAGCCATAGCCAGAGGGTTATGGAAGTCAAGAGAGGATGCTTTTTAAGAAGGCTGGCATCATGGCATGTTTGATGTGATGGGAAAGATCTAACAGAAAGAAGAAAATCATGAATCCTCCTCCTCCTCCCTCTCCTTCTCCTCCCTCTCCTTCTCCTTCTCTACCCCCTCCTCCTCCTTCTCTTTCCCCCTCTCCCTCTCCTCCTCCTCCTCCTCCCTCTCTTTCTCCTCCTCATCATCACAATTTGCCATGCTGTCAGCTCATAGCGAACACATAATGAAGCTGATGTCTTAGCCACCTAACTACAGTTTCACCTTCTGGCCTCCAGGTGCCTGTGCTCATGCCCAGCTACTAGTAAGAGCTCAGTCAGTACCGACTGGCAGAGAAGACTGCAAGGCCCCATCTGCTGTCACTTCTGCAGAGAGCAGGTGTGAATGGCCTGGCAGGCAAATCCCGTTTTGTGATGCCCTTTCCCATGGGCGGAGGGACAAGGGAGTGCACCAGGGCAGTACCTGGGGAAGTGGTCCCATTGTCCAGGCAGAAGGCACAGGTTTAGAGAGGCTCTTGGAGGACCAAGAGCAGGAGGCTGAGGGGACCAGAGGCCAGGATAGGCCAAGGGCCAAGGGCAGTCTAAGGTCTCCTTTGGGAGCTACTGGGCAGCAATTACAAAACCATGCAAACCAGTTGCCCTGGACTTTAACATCAATTTGTTTTTCTCTCCTCATCTAGGAATATACGAATTTCTGTGTTTATATAATAACCTGGCATTGTTTTCCTAGAATTCCTTACCTGAGCATATCCCATGAGGATGACCTGGTGGCACGTGATCCCAAGGCTTCTATTCCACATACTTGAAAAAGAAAAGAGATTTTTCAAAAAGCTGTCCCTGCTGTGTTTTTGCAACCCCCAGGCTGGCCCTTCCTTGGTGAGCAGGCTGTCTGCATGTGTTTGTTTAGCTTCTCTGGGTTCAGAGTAAATCCTGCCCTCAGCGAGCTGCAAACCTTCAGCCTCATGCCTCACCCTGGGCTCTCTTCTGGTGCCCCGGGAAGGTGCTGCCAAGTACCTGTGGAGTCTGTTACTCTTTCTCCAATAAAAACTGCTAATAAAGACAGCCACGTCTCGAGCACTGGCTGTGGACTGGCACTGTGCTCAGTGCTTCACGTTCATCAATTCATTTGGCCCTCAAAACAGCCCCACAACGATAGGTACTGCCACCCCATTTTATAGACGAGAAGCCCGAGGCTTAGAGAAGGGAGGAAACTTTTGCCAAGTCTCACAGCAAGTGGCAAGCGAGAATCAGAAACAAACTTTGCGGGTTCTACTCCTGAGCTCTGTCCCTTCTCCCGGTTTAATGAATCTCTAAATGGTAGAAATCCGCAAGGAGCCAGGCCCCTCCAGATCCTAAGGAGCCAGCCCCTGACACCTGTTTCTTTCTCTTTGCAGGAGCAATTTCTTGGGGGACAGCGACTCCTATGGATGTTGTGAAAAGTCGACTCCAAGCTGATGGGGTTTATTTAAACAAATATAAAGGTGTCCTGGATTGTATCTCCCAGAGTTACCAGAAGGAAGGTCTTAAAGTAAGCCCACAGCAGGCCTGCGGGGTCAGTGTCAGTTCCTGGAAGGTGATTCACACATTTAGGGGGATGTGGGACTACAGAGAAGGGAATCAGGAGATCAGGCAGCTGCCGGTGATTATGTGTCAGGTGCCACAAGCGGGTGCTTTGTCAAGCACTTCACCTAGGTGGTCTTTTCACATGGCCAGTGGAGGAGGTAGATATGTGACCTACCTGACAGAGGTTCAGAGAGGGCTGGTAATCTGCTTGCAGCCACACAGCTGGTCCATGGTGGCGCCTAGGCCTGGTCTACGTCTGTCTGTCACCACAGTTTGCCTTCTCATCAAGATAGGTTGGGTAGTCCTTCCTCACTCATGGGTCAGTGCCTTCCCCACCCCTCCTCCTGGTGGGAATTGCCAGAGCCGCCTTGCCTCCTTCCTGTCCTCAGTCAGCTCATCTCACCAGCTCCAGGCCCTGTGAACTGTCTTCTGCTCTCCCACCTAAGCCCTGACCCCAGACCTCTGATCTCGGCTGAGGAGGCAGCCTCTGACCCATTTCCCTTGGCTGTGTCTCCTCCGTTATTCCTACAGCTCAAGAGCTTAACCAACACATACCCCTTCCTACCACCTGAAAAGGTGCTGCCCCAGGATAGACCAGACTTCCATGTCCAGTGTCCAAGGTTATAAACAGATTCATCACCCTCCGGAGAAACCATCCTGCTGGCTCTTTCTTGCACGGGCTGTTTGCTTTCTTGGTGTGGCTCTTAGAGTCAGCAGATGTGGGTTCAAAGTCAGATGTAGCTAATGTGAGCTGGCAGGATCCAAGCAAGCAGCTTCATGTCTCAGGGCCTCAGTTTCTTCTAGAATGATCATCCCTTCCATGAAGGGTGGGGCATTTGTGGGTTAATACAAAAAGCACTCCATTCAATATGTAACCCATAGGGAAGAGTTAACCCTTTCTCATTTGCATTAGTATGATCAGTATTGATTTTATTAGCACCAGCGTTACCCCAGAGCTCTGGGTCTTTTCTCACATGGCTGCCCCACCCCAGGCCCTGCCAGATGAGTCTACCCATCCTTCCAGGCCCAGTGGAGTCCACCAGCCTCCCCAGGATCCATGTCCTTGGCTTGCTTCTCCTGTACCTCTCTCAAGGCGCTTCTCACACACCACCACGGGTGACAGCTATTTCTATACCTGCCCCTCCTCTGCCTCTTACAGCAAATTTTCCAAGGTCCTGTTTTACTCTCTCCCCCAACTTGGGAAAGACGCAGAGTTGGGATGACCCAGTGTTGTGGTAAATAACTAACATGCCACATGAGAGGGACAAGATCCAAAAGCTAGATCAAAGGGCCACATCTAAAGGACAGACCTACCAGAAGTCACTGTAAAGTCCAGCCCTTAGTATTCAATCATGGATCAATCATCTGTGTAAAGGATGGGGCAATCTGATTTGATGAAGGCTCCTAAGGAAAAATGCCTAAGTGCTTTAGTTTTCAAATGCTTATTTTTAGAGCAACTAGTATGTGGTAGGCACAGTTCTAGGAGCTGGGGACAGAGCAGTAAACTAAAGAGAAAAAGCCCATGCTCTGATCAGCTAATGTGCAGTGAGCCAACAGTGAGACCTGTCCCAAGGTTGCATTAATAGAAGCATAGTGGGTAGAATACAGGAGGTGGAGGCCTCTGCCCTGACCAGATTACAGCTGAAATGTTGCATCCACCTTTGGTCACTGCCCATTAAGCAAGACCCTAGTGGTGCCCTGGGAATGAAGAGCAGGATATCATAGTGTGTGAGGAAAGGCTGGACCCTGGTTAGTATAAGAAGATGTGATAAGGAGGGAACTTGAGTTCTATCTTTATGTTTTAAGGATGGATAAACTCAGAGCTTTACTATTCTCATTATTTTAAATTCCTTTTTAAAATTTTTAACAAGAGCTGCTCTGACAGAAGGGTGAAGCCCAGCCCTGGTGCAGCCTCAACTATCTTTTGTATCTTTTTTTCTTCTTCTTCTTTTTTTTTTTTTTTTAGTAGAAGTACAGTTTGTGATTCAGCCAATGAGTACAGAAGGATATAAAAGTGTTTCAAATGGATGATTCATTTTTATCTGAGATGTTTTTGTCTACTTCCCCAAATATTAATGTGTCATAATTTATAAAAAGTCTGTAGAGGCAAAATATATTGCTGATATTATTTCCTGCAAAAATTACTGTGCTCTTTAAAAAATGAAGTCCTGGAAGTCAGCTAAGTTCAGATGATTGGGTTCTTAATTTTGATAGCATTTGGTCCTCACTGTTGGTTCAGAGACAGGTTTTAAGTCAAGATAACAATACTCAGCTTGAGTAACCACTGCGTGATCAGATGGTTCAAGGTTAGTTGTTTAAAATTTGTATCAATTGGTCAAAAATTGGTAATGTATGAACATAGGAAGCTTCCAAAACTACCTGAGGATATACTGTGTCAATGCCCTGCCTGTGGTCCCTGTCCTCACTCAAAAGCAATTACCATAAAGTTTCTTGTGATACATTTCAAAAACATTTACAGTGTATATAAGAATATATGTGTATGTACCTATCTATGTATGCTTGTATATGTGACTGTTTACTTATGAACATAAATAGTAACATCAACAAAAACAACGACACCATCTAGAACAATCAGGTTGTCTCAAAGGCAGTTTTCTGGCAGCGGCAGGAGGAGGAGGTAGAGAGGATTCCTCGGTGCCCCAGGGATGGCTCCAGTTCCCGGCTGGCTTGGGCTCTGGCCATATGGAGCACCCCTCCCCGAGCATTCTTGACCGTGGCTCGCAGAGGCAGAGTGCAGGGCCCCAAGTCCATCATCATCCAATCTGTTCTCACCTTCCTATGGAAGAAGAAGTTTGTGACAGGAAAGAATTAGAAAGTCATTAATAATGATGATGGCGACCAATTTGAGTAGCTCTTTGTAACCCACTTAGGGATGATCAGTGGCGTAGCCTTCGTGGTGGGGAAAATCAAAAGTCCATGGACTTGTCGAGGCATCTCCAAGTAGAAACAGAAGAAAAATCTGGTAGTTTTGGAGCGATTCTCTGCCCACTGTTAGGGTCGTCTTGGGCTACATGGACCATAGCTCTGACTTGGAGAGTTGCCATCTGAAATAACGAGGCTGGTGAAGCACCTTGGTATTCTTGGCCCCATGGAAGCAGCTGCTGTGGAGGGGCTGTGGCAGTGAGATGAGGCTGAATGGCAGACAGAGGGGGCATTTGTAGGTAGACAGCTTCCAGAGGCACCAGGGCCAGCTGCCCTGGGTTGCTGTCCCTGGGGAATCTGGAGCCTCCCTCTTGCTCCAGGAACCCTGAACTACAGCCACCAGGACTCTTCCTTTTTCACGTCTAAAAGTTCATTTATTCATTCATTCATTTACTCATCCATCCATCCATTCACTGATTCATTTAATGTGTTTATGGACGGTCTACACTGGGCTAAGCGCTCACAGGTGCTGGGGTTTCAGAGGCAAACCACCCACACAGCCCTGCATTCACTGTCCTGACTGTGGTTGCTAATCCCACTCCCACCCCTGTTGTCTGTCCTTCCTGACAGGTAAGTCAGGGACACTTGGAGAACAGTGTGAGGAGTGCTGCGATGGGGAGATACTGAGTGCACAGAAGGTGAGGGGCCATCATCCACCTGGGGGTGGCCATGGCGACACTGCCAGGCTGCAAGCCAGGCCTGGGAAGCACTCCAGGCAGAGGGTACCAGAAGAGGCCCAGTGGAGGAAAAAGTCTGGCCCCTTAAAGGAATGACAGGCCGTTAACCTGCCCAGGGTGTCAGCTGTGAGAGGCCGCACAGAGAAAGTGCAAGGGAGAGTATGTGGGTCCTTGCAAACCAGGAAACGGTATGGACCTGACCCTAGCCCATAGGGAGCCACTGAGGCTTTGTAGGGTGGGAGTGAGGGGGACTCGGTCTGGAGGTCATATGCTCTGACAGCTCTAGGTAAAAGCTGGCAGGTCTGCACTTTGTTTGCCTTCTGTGGGCTCCACAGCAGAGCAGGCCACAGCTGCTGGAGGGAGGGCTGTCTGCTTGTCTGAAGTGACCCACAGCTCCTGCAGAGCCTGGTGCTGTGGGACAGAAGGCTCACACTCCAAGCCGGGCCATTGCTGCCTCCACCTTGCAGAGCAGCGCCAAGCCCAGACCCACAGGGCAACCTCTGTGGGCACCGGCATGGAATTTTCCTCTCGGAGTTTGACCCAGTTCCTGGCTGTTATTCAGTCACTCTGGATGAGCCTGTGGAATTCCAGAAAGGTCAGACATCAGAGAAGGGTGTTAATATTACCAGGATCTCACTGCTTGAACAGCTCGAGGGCTTGGCTGAGCCACTTGTTCATCTCTAGGGATCCTTGTCCATTAGCCCCGTCCCTAGGGCCATGTTGCAACCTGGAGGCTGCTGCAAAGTGCAGGCACCTCTCCTGAAGGAAGGTCACCTGATATCCTAGCCAGTGACAGAGGCCTGCACCAACTCTGATACCACAGTGCCCAGAGACTGAGGAAACTGGGAAACGCAAAGGGTTGGTTTCTACTTTTACAAAATGACCAGTTCTGTTTCTTAAACTTAGAAAATTATACAGGAATCCGAGTAGGTTTCTATCTGTGCCTGACAGTTCTCAAGTCATTTATATTTGTGTGAGAACTTGCTTTTAGATGGTCGTTACTTACCAGAGGATGTATAAAAGGCCAGCTCCTCCCCACGGTCCCTCTCGCCAAAGCTCTTATCTGTTCTCATTTTCTGGGTCATGTTGTTATTGTTCCTAAACGGGCCTTATCTCTGCTAATAGGTTATCACTGCTTGAGAGTTGGAATCACATCACATTTATGAGCTGACACCCAACACCAAGCAAAAAGATTGAGGGAGGAAAGGAAGATCATAGGCCATGTTTGGGAAGCATCACATAATACTCCCTGGGGATGGAAGACAAATGCAGGTGTCATGGAGCAGCAAAGGCAGAGTTCAGCAGCTCAGCAGCACGGGCCATTCTTCCCAAGCACGCATCCTAGTGCTGGAGGTTGAGTCCTATTCCCTATTAGGTGATAGACTATTAATAAGACAAGGAGGGTGATGATGATAATCAGCAGTTAACACATGCTTATACTGTATGCCAGGCACCGTGCAAGTGCTTGAAAAGCCTCATCTCATTTAGTCCCTCCAACATTCTTATCAGGTTGATTCTATCATTACTCCCCTCTTACAGTCGGGAAAAATGAGTTCCAGAGAGTTTGCCATTGGCCCAAGTGACAAACTGTGCCTCAACCTCAATGGCAAAGCTGTGCCTCAACTCCACGTCTGCAGAGTCTTAAGCACAGTTCGAGTTCCGTTCTCTGCCACTTTGGGGATGTCCTGTGAAGCCCCTGCTACAGTGATTGGGCATGGCTGGGTGCTCTACTTAGGGCTTCTAGATTCTGGAGGAGAGAGAGAGAGAGAGAGAGAGAGAGAGACAGTGTGTGTATGCATATGAGAGAAGAAGAGAGAGAGAGGGGGAGAGAGGGCAATTTAAAAAGCATATGTAGGTGTTTGCCTGGCCCAACAGCTTACCTATAGTATTTAGTGCATGTGTATCAGGGTCTGGCAGGAAAAGCACCATCAGGCATGACACGGGTCAGGGCAGGGCATGACTGGGACTTCCCTTTGTGGTCTCTGCCTACACAGATCCTTTGGGCTGTGGCTGGGGACGGGGCCTGGGCAGGCAGCACCACGAGCCGTTCTCTGCCCCTCCTTAGTGGCCCTGCAGAGGTGTGGCTCAGTCCCCTGCAATAACTGGGCCCCTGTGCAAAGGTGTTTTTCAGAGGCATCACTGTGAACGCGGTGCGGGGCTTCCCCATGAGCGCGGCCATGTTCCTTGGGTACGAGCTGTCGCTGCAGGCTATCCGCGGGGACCACGCAGTGACGAGTCCATGAGCGCCAGGTCAGTGTGCTTCCATCCCAGCTAATTGTACCTCCCAGGAACTTGAAACTCTTTTTTTTTTGGTCATGAGAATGTTGTGGCCTTCTGAAATGTCCTGTGGTTTATCACATATCTGTGGTAAGCTGGGGCTAGAGCTGCCACCCTTCTTGTCATCAAACAGCAGTTGAGAAATGCCCACCAGTGACTGGTGGTGTGCTGGGTCCCCAGGGACCGAGTCTGGCACAGAGTATACCTGTTTCCAGGCAGTTCGCCTCTCCATTTTCCCATCCAGTAGCTTCAACAACCCTTGCAGAGAAGCACTTTTACCTTCACCGTGCAGACGCAATGACCCAGGCTCACAAGTGAGGACTTTAACCAGGATACCTGCAGGGGGGCACCGTCTCCCCACCTCCCTACTGAACTGCAGGGCCTGACTTGAGAGCCACCCACAGGCTCCCAGAGCCCTAGAGGACAGGTTTCTGCCACCATTCTTTGCCTCCCATACCCTCTTTTTCTTTCTCATTGCAGAAAGATCACTGTAGCCTGAGGACTCTTCTAAAGACAGAAATCTGACTCCCGTGCTCACATGCCCTCCTTGGCTCCCCATTGCCCTCTAGATAAAGCCCTCACCCTGCTTCTGCTGGCCTCACCCTTCACCACTGTTCTGAATGTCCCGCCCTCTCTCTCGCCCCTAGGTCTTTGCTCAGGCTGTCCCCTCTGCCTGACATCCTCTTCTCGCTCCTTTCCCACTTGTCCTTGGCTTCACCAGCTCTTTGTCATCCAGGCTGTAGAAGTCTCCTCCTCCCGGATTGCCGGCTTGCTTTCTCAGCTGGGGTGAGTCGCGCCTTCTGCAGACCATCCCCCACCCCCACCCACACTGCATCCTAAATGCCAGAGGACGCCCTCACTCCCCAGGCGGGGCTGCCGTGCTGTCCCTACGTTTGCACTAATGGTGCCTGGCACAGAGCCCGGCACACAAAGGACCACTCAGCAGTGTCGTCGGATGGGTGGATGACCAACCCCCATATTCCCTCAGGCCTCCTCTTCCTCCCTGTGCTTTTTCTTCCTCATTGTCTGGCCCCACACTGGCTACCTGCAAAGCTCAGAAGACAAAGTGGGTGTGGACTGAACTTTCTAGTCAACTAAGAAGCCATTTGACATGAGTCTTGGTTAGCACAAATTCTCCTAGGAAGGATGATCTTTGTCTATAAAACCTCACTGCTGCCTCCCCGTGTGAGCTGGCAGGGGTGTTCTCGGGACGGCAGAGCCCTGCTGGGGTGCATGGGTGGTGCCAGAACCTGGACAAAGGGAGGGGGCCTGACCAACCAGGCTGACTGTAGTTAGCCCAGGACAAGCCCCAGAAGCTGGCTTCAAATAAAATGCTCTCCACTTTTTGCTAAAGCAGCAACATTCACTGCTTTTCTGGCTATTTGCCCTTTCTTATAAAAGGAAAAGGGTAGCAACACAGTTTGCATAATTCAACATCTTGAGTGAAGAGTTACAGCATTTGGGTGGCCTCCAGGACAGGGAAGGAGTTTGTCTTCTTCTTAAAGCTGTGCTCGGATATTGGCCATTTCCCCCTTTTCTCTCTTTAAGAGAAAAGTAATTTCTTAAACATCCTATAATAAAAGTCATGCATTTTTATTGTAGAAAAAATAGAAAATTTAAATAAACAGAAAGAACAAAATAGTAAGACCTGTCATCACAAGACCTTGTTATTATTCTTCCAGATTTGTCTTCTGTGTATTTTCAAATTGGGATCCTACTCTACACAGTGTTTTACAGCCCTCTTTTCCCATTCAGTAGTTTGGGACCATTTTCCCATGTCATGAAATCTTCAGCTACAAGATGGTTTTAACGCCAAGACCTCTCAGATCCCAGAGTGGCCGGATGCCTGCCCAACCTGTCGTACCTGCCACTGCGACCACCCTCGTGATTAACTGCTTCAGTACAAAGAAGGAACTTTCTAGCAACCCAATCATGATTGTCCTGCATTTAGCCTTTCACAAGCAGTGACCAACGCAATTGGAAGCTTTTCTTTCTGAAAGCGCTCTTTCTTGCAAGGGGCATAGACGTCTGTCTCCCTCAGCAGAGAGGACTGCTAAGGCAGGGAGGAGTTTGTTGCCTCCTGGTGGGAGAGTGAGGTTCCCAGCCACTGGTCTGCAGATTCATCTTAAACAAGTCTTGCCCATGGCATTCAACTTCCTGTTCTAACCCCAAAACACCAAGGCCTGTTAACAAGACTGGATTTTAATTTACCAAGTAGCTCTGAGATTTGGGGCAGGCCATGCTCAGATAGCAGTCACACCCACTCTTTGAATGCCTCCCTCATTGTCTAGACCCAGGACAGAGTGAGATGACGTATATTAGAGATCTAGGGAGTCAAGCCGTCCCTAAGAAGTGGCGGGATGGGGACCATCTCGAGAGTTCCTGGGTACAGATGACAGGGATGACTTGAGAATTGTTTCTAAGAGCCTGCAGGGAATAGATCACCCAGCTCCCAGCAGCTGCCAGGTGCCTTCCAGCAACCAGGCACAGAGGTCTCCCCCAGCGTCCCCAAGTCCCATGCGGGAAGATCAGTGACCTTTGGTGGTAGAAGTGGCATCCCGCCCACTCATCAGTGGCTGGTTCTCAAACTTGTCTGTGGCTCATCAATCCAACTCTGCCATCCACCTGTCCAAGACCAAGCTCCAGAGCTTCCTGGAATAATGCTGGTCTGCCCTCTGTCCTGACATGCATGCTCCAGATCTCAGTAGCCTACTTGTAGTTTCAGGAAAACTGATTTTCAAGGAAAGAAGACATAGTCCTCTTATGATACCTTTTTTGAACATTTACAAATAGCCCCGGTAACCCTGAGAGCCTCTGCCACTCCGTACTTTGCCTCTTGGTGCTTCACAAACCCAGTCTCCAAATGGATTGTTTGACCCCAAGATCCAAGATTTCAAGACTCCTGTTAGATGATGTTCTTGTCTTTCCTCCTTTTTCCCAGGGCCTTATCCCATTAACAGGTCAATGCTAACAGTGTCTGCAGAACCCATGGTGTGAATTTACTGAAGAGAAAGAAAGACTCTCCGCCAGGTGGGCTTTCAGCCAAGCAGGCTGTCCTTAGAACCCCTTCCTTCCTTCACAATTGCAAGCATTCTGATACCCACCCCAGCTGGGGCAGCGGAGCTCCTGCCTTGGAGGGATTCAACTGACCATTGGTCAACTGATCACCAACTATTTCAACTTTGGACTTGCACCTGGTAACAAAAAAACGAACAGAACAAAACAAAACTGGAGTAAAATAGATCCTCCCCCCATGGCCATTGTAAAGTCACTGTGAATTCATGGAAGAGGTGGAGTTCGCTCTAAGTGTCAAAATAAAAGCATTAAAAACTTCTTCACATTGTTTCTCTGTCAGATGCCCCTGCCTGGCTTCCAAGAGGCTCCTGGCCACTGTCATTCCTCTTGCTCTGTTCAGGCCTCTGTGGATGTTGCAGGCCCAGAGGGAAACCCCCCTCCACACAGGTGAGGCGAGAAACTGAGCAGGGGCAGCCTGGCTTCTTTTTTCCCAGATGCCTCAGGTCGGCAGGGAGGGCATAGCCGTTGAAAAGGGTGATGATGGACAGAAACCTTCTAGGGGTTTTCCCACCCTGAGCAGTGGCACACGTTGGTGAGTTGCTTCAGGCAGGCTGGCCCTGGGCTTGGTTGGGGTGGGCACTCTCTGGGCCTTATTTTTACATGGAGAACAAAACAAAACAAAACAAAATACTTGATCCACAGTCTGGTTTCCAGAGTGACTTCATTGTTCTAAATTTTATTCCTTACTAGAGCTGCATGGGGAGGCCATTGCTATTTTGCTGTTATGTGGCTTGTGTCCCTCCAGCCTCTCCCAATTCTGTGCCCACAACAAGCATTCCTAGTCAATCATAGAGCCCTTTCTTGATGAGCCGAGTGGCGCCTCAGAGTCTTTCTCAGCACAGTGCCCCGGCAGCCACCACCAGCTGCGCAGAACTGCCATACGAAATGAATCTATTTGCCATCCCTGGCTTACATCCCAGTGAAGGAAATGTCCTCAAATTTGTTCTTTTTTTCTTTCCCTTGAAAAGGTCTTCCTTGGTTTCTCCACTACCCTGTTCCCCCACCACCCCCTGCCTTTGAGTGATTTGGGCCATGACTCAGAAAAATCTCTGCCTTACTAGACCTAAGACCAAAGCAATGCTATGGTGCAAAAGAGTTGAAAGTGTTCTGTCTCTTCGGTGTGAAACCTGTTACTGGAGCGGAGGGTTCCCTGCTTGAAATAAAACCCTCAGCATGCCCTCCTCAATCTTTCTCCTTCACAGCCCCTGGGACTGCAGGGTCCCCTGGGGATCTCTGCAGGTTACAGTTCAAGCTGCCCACCCTCCTGCAGTGGGACATTCATTCATTTGTTCAGTCATCAAACATTTGCCGAGCAGATGCTGACCTCGGTGCTGGGGACAGCCATGAGGGACTTCAGTGGCACGTCATTCTGGTGCAGTGGAGAGGCTCTATTGATGGGAGAGACCAGCCTGCCTGTCTGCTCCAGCATCACTGGGCCTGGGCGGGCATGGAGGATGTGAGTGAAGAGATGCTTCTGGCACCTGGTTCATCCCTGGGTAGGCTTAAAGTCTCTGCTCTAACACATCCTAGAATGTGTTTCTTAAGTCTGCCTCAACTGGACCATTTCCTGGTGCTAGGTATGCTTGCACAGTTTGATTAGAAGTGGTGCTGTGTCCACAAGGCCAACTAGGGTCTTCTACTGGGTGCTCCTGATGAGGCTGAGATGCAGCAACCACCTTCTTCAGGTGTCTGAGCCTTTCCTAGTTTCTATTAATCATCATGGCACCTCTTGATTGTAGGAGGAGGCAAGCAGAGAGAAGCATTGCTGATCCAGTTTACAGATGAAAAAACTGAGGCTCCAACATACCTGAGCCCCAGTTCAGGACTTTACCGCCAATCCCATTTGATAATCTTCCTGAGGCTACACTCCCCTGCTGTCCAACCCAGGGAACATCACCAGCAGCCACAATGATGGCTATTTTGTGGTGTAAAAAAGGACAAAGTTGTTGGGACACGTAAGTATGGAGTCTGAAACCACTAATGAAGGCCTCCCATCAACCACATCAGAACTGCCCTTCTGGACTCACCTCCCATTGCTCTGGTCCAGGTTCCCTGTGCTCCCATCATTTCCCCCATCCAGTCCAGTGCCAGGCATATAATGGGCATTTAAATGTTGCTTTAAGAGTTCCCAAGTGATCCAACAAGCCTGCTGGACCAGCTGCTTGTCTGCCCAGCACCCTCCAGACTTCCCTGCCTCTGTGCTTTTCTTTAACCTATAGGACACTCTTATCCCCAGCATCACCAGGAACAGGAATGCTCCCTGTTTTCAACCCAGCTCGGGTGCTTTAAGCCTTTAGATGTTAGGGCTTCCTTGATTCTCTCTCTCTCTCCCCTAGCAGCATCCATGGCTCTTCCACCGACATGACCCCTCTGGCACTGTGTCCCTCCCTGTGCTACAGTCATGCGTGTGCACCCTCTGTTTCTCACTGGCCTGTGCCCATCTTCAGAGCCAGGGCTGAGTCTTCCCAATCCTTAGATTCAGCATAGCAGCAAGAATGAGCAGGGTTTAGAATAAAGGAAGCATAAATTAATGGGCAAAAATGCAAGCATGACCATGTTAACTGAGAATTGTTTGTAATAATGAAAATTGAGAAACTTTCCAAATGCCTGTCAATAGAAGAGGGGGTTAAACAAACAGCCACTAAAAAGAATGAGGTAGATCTTACATATATTGTCATGGAAATAGGTCAGCGACATTTTAAGTGCAGCAATGGAGGGGCAGAATAACATATATGATGTTATTCATTTTCATTTTAAAATGCATATCATATATGGGTAATTATATGGGCATTGAAAACCCTTGAAGGGTACACACCAAATTTAATAGTGGCTATTTCTGGGATGTGGGATTGGGAGAAGGCTTTCAATTCCTACTTTGAGGATGGTGATTTCTTTGTATATCACTATAATGATGGTGATTTGATGATGGTGATTACTGTAATGTTTTAATTTTTTTACAGCAAGCATATATTGTTTTTATAATATCTTAAAATAAAAGCACATCTTATTGCAGAGCTAGGGCTCCCTGCTGGGCACTTGTTTTTCAGGCTGCAGGCTGGCTCTGCCTCGCTGCCCAGCCTCAGCCCGGCTCTGAGTAACAGCCCCTCCCCTCCCTGCCCTCCTGCATGCTGGGCAGACACTGCCTCAGCACATCTTCTACACCCTCACTCTCACCCAGGAGCACCTGGGCTGCAATGAATTAAACTTGGCTTTAATGAAGAAACTCAGCTCCAACCCAAACAAACCTCTTGTGGTAGCCAGATCTGGGAGGCGTCACCCAGCAATGGATCTACTTCCTCTTAGATTTTTCTGGAGAGGGCAATCTTGTGGAATAGTTGGGGCCAACAGCTTGTGAGTTTTCCTCCATCAACACATTATGCTTCTATTTAACCAAATATGTGTGTGTGTGTGTGTGTGTGTGTGTGTGTGAGAGAGAGAGAGAGAGAGCGCGTGTAGTCTGTTCCCAGTGCTGTTACAGGCATTGGGTGACAATGACAGGGACTCTGCCCTCAGAGAGCTTAGTACCAGGCATTAATTTCTGTGTCATGGTCAGGAAAGTCTTTAAACAAATGGAATCCTATTTTTAAGAAGGATGAAAACAAAACAGAATTCCAAGCCAAGCACCAGCTTTGGTGTCTGTGTCCTGGAGTTGGAGGGCTTCAAGGTTGGCCAATTTGCCTTACTAGGAACGATGAAAAGAAGAAAAAAAACCATTACCATTCAGCAGCCCCTTTCACTTCTGAAAATTATTAAGGGTCTCAAAGAACATCTGCTTATATATTTACCAACATTTACTGGAAATTCAAACAGAATTTCAAAAATATTTATCCATTTAGGTATAATAATAAACCCATGACATTTTAACATAAATAACATTCTATGAAAATAATGATTCTTTCTAAACCAATGTAACTAACGAGAAGACTTGTGTTGTGTTCCCTTTTTGCAGCTAAGTCTGGCTTAAACAGAGAGCAATTGTGTTCCCCTGTCTCCTTTTGCTTTTAGTCAATGGGTTATCACTTGCAATATAGCCTTTGGGAAACTCCATTGTACACTTGTGAGAAATAAGATTGAAAAGAGCAGAAAACATCTTAGTATTCCATGCAGATAACATCTTAGTGTTTTATGAAAGTAGTTTTGACCTGTTTACACATATATTATGTATATATCCCTCACCCAAAGGCTGATACCCTCAGAACGGCCGCTTGGTGGCAGTAGAGGTCAACTAAAGCCTCTGCAGGAGTCCGCGTCTGGGAGTGCACGACCTTGGCCCTGTGGTGAGAGCACCTGGACCCCGTGACACTTCTCTTCCTGTTTCCTGGGCATCACCATCTCCCTTGGTGTTGCCCTTTCCCTTCTCTGTGGTGGAAAGAACTTCACACTAGGGAGACCTTCCCCTTGGGTTCCAATTTCACGTGGGCCATCGGCTACCTGTGTGCTCTTGCAGGCATCGGTGCCCCCTGAGCCATCTGTAAAATGGCCACACTGGTCTCCCTTACCTCCTTTGCACGGCTTCCGTAACAATCAAGTGCAAAAGTGTTTTTGTAAACTGTAAAGTGCAAAACATAGGGTTTGGAGGAAGGGGGGGCGTGGTGTGATTTTTCTGGTTTCTGTTCTTTGCCTGCCTTCTCCTCTGAATCTGGGTTGTTTGCTTTTTCCAGGAGGTGAACACAGGGTGACTAGTGTTCCCTGGGCCTCATCTCTGCATGTGAAGCCCTGAGAGCTGCAGATGTTTGGCCTTTGGACCTCCAAGTGGACATCAATCAGCAAGCGTGGGCCAGGATGGTGCAGACACTGACGTGGCCCTTCTGATGCCTGGGATGCCTCATGAGTCACTGGTTCAAGCCCTCCAAGGTCTGATCCCCAATGCCCACTCTGCTAGGCTGGCATCAAAGAGGTTTCCAAGAAATGTTTGGTCCAGAGAAGTCCAGACCATGAGCACCAGGGAGCCAGAAACGATCCAGTGAAACCGTCCATCCTCGCTCCTCTGGCTGAGGATGGGGAGGGGCCAGTGAGCTCTGGGCTCAGCCACTCCCTCCAGTCTCAAGTACCACGCCCCCGTGCCTCCCTCTCCTCTTAGCACCGACCAGGTTTCTCCCGGCTCCTGTGCACCGGTGGATCCCGAGGACAGCAGTAGCGCCTTCCTCAGCCGCACACTGAGTCCAGCGCGTGCTCCTCACTGCGCACTTATTAGTGTCTGTTGAGTGATTCAATCACATCCTCAGGTCTGCAGCAAATAAATGAAGGTTTCTTTATTTTTTGTTAACTAAATTGAGATTTTTTTTTCAAGTTGATGACAGAAAAAAATAATTTTGCCATTTCAGGGTAAAACTTCGAAATTCCAAGTTAAATGCCCAGTTCAAGATTTTTTTCCTTCTCCACCTTCCCCTGGGGTTGACTTTACATCTGGGAGGCTTGGGATTTAGGGAGAGGCTTCAGGGTTCTGGGAGGTGCTCTGTCTGTCCTACCCTGGTGTTCCTCCCGGCTAGTCCTGGGCCTGGCTTTCCCTCCAGGGTGGCTTCTGTAGAAGCATCTTCAGTCCCATTTGGTCCCTGTCCTTGGTCTGAGCATGCCATATATGCCCATCCCAAGGTCTCTCCGGCCTTACCATCCTCCAAGACACATCAGTGCCCCTCTCTGCCCTGGATGAAAATCTTTGGTTTCTCCGTTGAAACTATTCAGGGGGCTGCTTCAAGCCCAGCTTCCTAGGGCCTGTGGGTGGTCCTCCCTATACCAAACCTTAGGTGTGGTGGCGAGAGGCATTCTCTTTTCATGTCATCTCCCAGGGCACTCAGGGAATATGGCTCATGTGCCCTTTACTCTCGGTTTTCTACACGCCCCCCTCGCCCTCCCCAGGAGTGCTGCCCTCTTCCCCGAGGCTCTGCTGGGGGCCAGGCAGAGAGCTCTTCTCCAGGGAACTCAACAGCGTCTGCCATCATCCTCTCCTCTCTGACTTCTCTTCCATAGTCCAAGGAGTTACTTTCTATCCCAGGGCTAGGAGAGTTACCATTGGAAATTCTAAAGCCAAGAATTAACCTTTGTATCAATAACCTCTATACCAATAAGTGCAGAAAATACATCTGACATAGTCCAATCTCATTCAAGATAAAAGTGTTCAATAGATAAGAATAAAAGAATTTTCTCAGTCTGATAATAAGCATTTATGAAAAGTCCACAGCTCACATCATATTAATATTTAATCATGAGCGACTGGATCCTTTCCCACTAAAATCAGGAACAAAGCAAGAATATCTACTCTCACCACTTCTATTCAACATTGTATTGGAGGTTCTAGCCAGAAATTAGCCAAGAAAATGAAAGAAAAGGCATCCAAATTGGAAAAATGGAAGTAAATTACCTCTATTTACAGATAATATGATACAGTATAAAGAGGGATGGTTGCACAACCCTGCCAATGTACTAAAATCTATTGAATTATACTCTTCAAATGGATGAATTGTATTGCATATGGTATATGAAGCATATCTCAATGAAGCCATCTGTTTGTTGTTGATGTTGTTGTTTGTTTGTTTGTTTTTAAGATAGGATCTTGCTCTGTCACCCAGGCTGGAGTGTAGCAGTGCAGTCATGGCTCACTGCACACTCGACCTCCTAGGCTCAAGCGATCCTCCCATCTCAGACTCCAAGTAGCTAGGACTACAGTTGCACATCACCATACCCAGCTAAGTTTTGTATTTTTCGTAGAGATTGGCTTTCACCATATTGACCAGGCGGATCTCAAATTCCTGGACTCAAGTGATCTGCCTGCGTCAGCCTCCCAAAGTGCCGGGATTTTAGGCATGAGCCACTGTGCCTGGCTAAAGCCATCTTTTTCAAGTGATAAAAATAAAGAATGAAGCCCTTTGGGTCCTCTTTGAGTTTCTGCTGAGGCCTCCCCTTGCAGAGAACGGGAAGTCTTGGTCTGGGGTTGATGAAGCAGGGTGACAATGTGACAGTGGGAGGAGAGGAACTGAGAGGTTGAAACATCACAGCGTCTTCCTGCTTCAAACTGGATGGATGTACAGAGGGAGGGATGGATGGATAGATGGGCAAGCCAGCTTTATGGCTGGCCACATCTTGGCTTGGCTTTGGCCTGCAGTGTGTCCTTTGATCTGGAATCTACTGGAAACAACTCTGCCTGGGGCCTGGCAACCTGGGGAGGGTAGCAACTTCACCACTTGCGAGCAACGTGCTTCTGGCCAAGTTATGCAACCTTGTTGGGCCTACTTATCTCATTTGTGCAGTGGGAAAAATTACATACAACAATTATATAAATATCTCATGGGGTTCTTGTGAGGATCCAACAGATATTCTACAAAATAGGCTTAGCAGAGTGCCTGGTACAGAGTAAACAATAAATGTTAGTTCTCCTTTCTCCAGGGTGACTTCTTGATGAATCTCAATTCTCCTGGCACAGAGAAGGTGATAATTATTGCACACTTCACTGTAAGTAAACCCTCCTTGGAGCTTGCCTGCAGGAGGGAACACTGCAGGTTATGTGACTTTTGCAGAAAAGCTGAGGGAAAGCACCAAGCTATGCTGGTGATTAATCTGCATCGGTGAGTGTAAGCTCGTCTCTGCTCATCTCCTCCGGCAACATGTTGCATTTCTGAGTTGTGTTCTGAAACCATCACCAACCATCAGCATCTGTCCCTGCTGTGATCCTGCTTGGGCTGGTGTCTCCCCATGCTGCAGGTGGTAAACCACAGTGTCACATGATTCAACTATGTCTGGGGCCAGTCATTCAGAAAACCCACATGGAGGAGAGGAGAAGAGAAGGTGTTGCAGCTGCGATCTGGAACTCCATGCGGCAGGCTGTCCAGGAAGCTGCAGAAACCTCTATCCCTCCTGGAGCCACCCAGCCCAGCCCCAGATAAAATGTCTTGGAGAGAGTGCCCCCCACCGCCTCCCTGGGTAAGTAGGGCATGAGCTAGAGAAAGGCTGTTTTGTTAATGCAGCTTACCAATTTCTTATCATTATTCTGAAATCCAAACAACTGTGAAAACTCAAGATTTGTTAGGACTTATTTGGCTGCAAAACTTGACCATTTCAGTGACTGCTGCGGGATTGATAGGTTTAATTATGGAACCTTGCCCCAGGCACTGCTGTGGGTGTTATGTAATATATGGCACATGGATTGTTTTAACTTTCTAAAAGGCTAAAAAGCTTGAATTCTGAAACCTATCTGACTCCCTAGGTTTCTGGATATGAGAGTGTGGACTGCAATTATGATGGGTCTGTTTTACCCTCAGGCTGTGGTTGGAAGAAGCACAGTGTACACCCTTATGCCCTTGGTATAAAGAGAATAATAAAGGGGCAGAATGCAAACAGCAAAGGATTTGGAAGCAGAGACTAGGGGTGAATCCTTCTAAATCTCACCACCTGTGGGATCTTGGGAAAGCCATCGAGACTTTCTAAGCTTTGGTTTCAGCATATATAGAACAAAAACATGTAATAATATCCACTTCCTACCATAACTAGGGGGTTAAGCAGTTAATTATTAAGCATTTATTCTGCATGCCCACATTCTTGAGCAGTCTCCCACTTCCAAACTGCTGCCTTCTCCTATTTCAGGCACACGGCCAATTTCTCAGGACTGTAGCCCTCTCAGCAGTGCTCCAGGGCTCCCTCCCTCAGACATGCCTTCAGCCTCCCCTAGCGGCAACCCTCAGACAGTCCCCACAGACATTCTTTGTAACTGCTCCCTGCAGCCTCCCCTGCAGCCCCAGCTACAGCCTCTGAGTCTGAGGGTCTGTATTCAGCATCAGGAGTCTTATCACTATAGGAGTCTCTGATCTATTCTTCCCCTTAACAACACTTGTAGCTTTCTTTGTCCTGAGCAGCAAGAGATGAGTAATTGCCTAGAGACCAGCTCCTGTCATTTTCCCCCCATATGTATTTATTTCAAAATAAAGACATACAATTTTAAACACATAATCACAACTGATATTGATTTAGAGTAGCTTACTTGATTTTTTAATTGTAGCAACTTAAAGAGAAAGCATTTTAAATTTAATAAATAGGATAAATAATATTTCATCTTCATATTTTGCCTCCCATCCCTCTCATATTTTCTTTCTGGAAAACTTCCAGGAGACTCTTCAGAAACGTCAGCATGTTGCCTGCCATGGTTTGGTTGCATGGCTGTTCACAGGAAAAATTCTGTGGGGATGAAAGTTGATAAGGACAGAGAGACTCAAATGATGTAGAGCCAGGCAGCCCCAGGAGCCCCCCTGCCAAGAGCCAGAGTCGGTGGTGAGGAGTGTGGGGATGGGAAGGGAAGGGGCTTGAGACCCAGAGCAAATAGATGGGCAGGTCCAGGCTAGCTCATGTGGTGTGAAGACAACGTAGGTGGTTGACCTCAAGTTGGATTTCAGGGCTGTTTACACACACACACACACACACACACACACACGCCCCCCTATTAAGTGACCCTAAATCTCCCCATTAGAGAAAGCCTTTCTGGGGACTCTTTGAGGCCTAACATTGTATCATTATCCTTTTAGGTTGTGTTTCCAAGGTCATTTGACAGTACAGTGGCTAAGAGTGGGGCTCTGAAGTCACACAGACCTGAGTTCAAATCTCACCTCTGCCACTTATTAAATATGCAGCCTTAGGCAAATTGGTTAACCTCACTGAGACTGATAAATTGAATAATTGTCCCTAAGGTATGTATTTATTCAGTGAGACAGCATATATTAAGCACTTAGAACTAGATGCCATTGATGGTAGAAACACATGCAGTTAAACAGTTGAGCTCAGGGCTTTCAGACTTCTAGGATCTTGTGTGGAGATGCTAATACCCAAAAAAGGGAGGGAGGTCACCTCTACCCAACTTGCCATCCCACTCTGCTGTCAGGGACTAGGGTATATGCTGAAGAAAGGAATGTGTGGATGGGCATTCAGGATGAGTGGCAAGCTTCTACCTTGACCTGGGTGCATTGCCCTTTAAATACCTCCTTAATCCAGGCCAGGCATGGTGGCTCACGCCTATAATCCCAGCACTGTGGGAGGTCAAGGCGGGCAAATCATTTGAGTTCAGGAGTTGGAGAGCAGCCTGGCCAACATGGTGAAACCCCATCTCTACTAAAAATACAAAAATTAGCTGGGTGTGGTGGCACGCACCTATAATCCCAGTTATTTAGGAGGCTGAGACAGGAGAATCACTTGAACCCAGAAGGCAGAGGCTGCAGTGAACTCAGATGGCACCACTGCACTCCAGCCTGGGCAACAGAGTGAGACTCTGTCTCCAAAACAAAACAAAACAAAACCTCCTTAACTAACAGGAAAAAAAAAAATCCCTTTTAACAACATCCATTCAGTTAGTACATTGAATCTCTAGAATAATTTCGTATTATGTGAGCTGCATCCCTGATTCTCTAGATTGTGGCTTCTAATTACACTCAGAAAGGATTCTTTCATTATTCCATAATAGAGAGAAGTAAACGGCTCCGTTGGCGTGTTTTTTAAAACTAGGGGGAACAATGATCTATCTCACTTTAATTCTATTGTTTCAATGGATCTCACTTTAATTATATTACTTCTGATTAAATTTCTTAGATGTCTTTTATCAGCCTTGAAGTATCAATTCCAACTTTATCATCCTTTTGCATTCAAACACGGTTGGCATCACCATTCATATAGAAATCACCGACAGGAACACATCACATATGAAAACAAACTTACGGGACACTTGTTGTTCTTTAGTACTTCAACCGATTTTTTCACCCGATTGAAAATCAGCGGGTATCTTGTTTGCACTGTGGTATTGGTCATCTGAGACAGTACCTCCCTGAAGCATGGTCCAGGGCAGTTGTCCTGGTAAATAGTAAGGATTTATTAAAAGAAACATTCTGAGGACAGCTTTGAAAATATATCACAAAAAGCAATATAAGAGATGATTTTTATTTAATCACCATTACTCAAACTTGCATTATTTTTAGATAAGTCCCTTGCCAATGTAGGAAGTGATCTTCCATATTTAAAGGGGATGCTATTTTTCCACAGTGACACCCCCTGGAGGAGACTTCCTGTATGTTACACCCAGGAAACATGAGGGTTGTGGGCCCTGAAATAGTCAGCTCTGAATGTTCTTTTCAAGAGGTGCTTCCCGGCTTCAAGACTTGTAAGTTTGAAAGTGCAGAGTGAGGAAAAGCCTTTCCACACCAGCTAATGGGATGTGACAATTGAATGCAGCTGGTATTTCAGCAGCAGCTAAAAACACGGAGTGTACGCCGAGGGGCAGGGGCTGTGCTGTCTGCCTGGTGCCTGCCCAGAAGGCGCTCTAGCCTGTTCTCCTCTAATGGATGGACAGCGATGGCTGCGATGTCTTACCCTCGCCAGCGCAAGAAGCTGAGATTCTCCCAGGCCTTGCATGAGAAAGAATAAAGCACTGCACCTTGGAGAAGTGCCTCCTCCTCACCCTAACCAGGAGTTTGAATTAGGAATGAGAACTTTCCTGCCACCCGTCCTTCCTGCCAGAGTGGGCAGTGGCCCTCTGGAAGCCCTCCTTCCACTCAAAACCTCAGATCCTCTATCTGCCCAGAGGGCAGCACTCAAACCAGCAGTTACTCTAATCAGCTAGACAGACAACAGGGAGGTAGGGAGGAAGGGAGGAGGCAGGGAGAGGGAGGTATAGCCCGAAGATCATTCATGCCAGATGAATGATAAGGAGTAGTCTTTTTGTTTACATTGTTTCACAATTCTAGAGTTATCAGTAAATGAGGTAGAAAGCAATATGATATGACCTATAGCAATGATTATATCCTTAGTTCCAGTTTTATTTAATTGTGCACATGGCCACCTATCTAAAAAGATATTCAGGATTCCTTTTTTTTAATGTTGAAAAGTGTTCAAACTTCTCAAGAGGCATAAAGTTAACTAAATACAAAGAAAGGTTCATAATAAAGGATTTCAAGATCCTAGTTTTAAAAGGGAATAATTTGTAACAATGTGGTTTTAACAGGGAATACTAATCGTAACAATTGAATTAAGCAACAATGTATAACATTAAATATTAAATAAAGCAACTTTTTACTTAAAATCAAACCAAAAAAATCCAAGGTCAAAATTATATTCTCTCATTATACTTACAGAAGGAATGGGCAGACAGAGACAACTGGTCACCTGCAAGGGAAATTTCAGAGTGAAGATTCCAGATGTGAAAATTAAAATTAATTTGGAAAGTTCTTAAAGAGCACTCACTCACATTAGCACTGCAGTGGCACTTCGAAGCTGCATCTTCCTAAAGTAGATAGAGAGATAAGAACCTTTAGTCAGCCCCGAGTTTTTTCATCCTCATACATATTTCACTTTGTCAGTAGCCGTCTTTCCCACGGGCGCCCCCTGCAGCCTACCTGCATCTTGTTGATGAGAAAGTTGATGTCCCTGACGATCCCCGTCGAGGCTGGACACCCCCGGCCTGCCACGGAGCACAGGAGCAGGGCAGAGGTAAAGACTGTGGCCAGAAGCATCTTGACAGAGGACTGGAGCTCGCCTGAAGACATCTTCAAATCGAGTGGTATTTAAAGCTCCCTCTCAAACATGGAAAAACCCTGACATCAAACTGATACCAAGAGCCCACTTTTTCTCTGTAAGTTGGGGCCACTTTATATTAACAAACAAAAAAATCAAACTGAGTCACTTGACAAAGATGATGTTGTGCCAGGAAATATCATTCCTCAGAAAAGATGATTTTCAAAAAGTTGAGTACTGAAGTGCTGAAGGAAAAGTTAAAGATCTAAAAACCAAGAAAAAAAAAATTAAAGGCAGGGATTCTGGTTGTGAGAATGAGAATACTTTCCATGAAAGCCCAGGTCTGTATTTTCCCTTTTGACTTTATGGGAAATGCTGATAAAATATAGCCAGTCACGGGTGTTTGGGGAGAGCGAGTGGGTCAGGGGAGGGTGCGTGATATTGTAGGACTTCACTTCTCTCTGTTGGGGTTTTCCTTTAGTAATTGCAACCTCAGTCTTAACTATCCTTTATTCTCAAATCTCAATGTTTTTCATACCCAGGATCAAATTCGCCACCTAATGCAAATGCATCTTAGAAGTATCCTTTTGTGCAAGTGTCTGAAAGAAGAAATCTTCAACTATAAGCACAAGAATGTGGCAATCATGCTTGTTAAAATTGGCCTTGAGGACTCCTCAGTATCTTTAGAGACCTTGTATAACACTGCATGACATCAAGTGAAAACCCAGTACTTGAAATAGTATAATAGCTAACATTTACTGAGCACTTACTACATACTAGTAACTTTTTTTTTTTTTTTTTTTTTTTGAGACAGAGTGTCACTCTGTCACCAGGCTGGAGCGCAGTGGCACAATCTTGGTTTGCTGCAACCTCTGCCTCCCGGGTTCAAGAGATTCTCCTGCCTCAGCCTCCCGAGTAGCTAGGATTATAGGCACCTGCCACCATGCCCAGCTAATCTTTTGTATCTTTAGTAGAGACAGGGTTTCACTATGTTGGTCAGGCTGGTCTTGAACTCCTGATCTTATGATCCACCTGTCTTAGCCTCCCAAAGCGCTGGGATTATAGGCATGAGCCACCACGCCTGGCCATACTAGCAATATTTCTAAGCACTTTACATGCATTAAGCCATGTAATACACTCAGCCACCAAATGAGGTGGGTAGTAATTTGTCATCACCATTTTTTTACCCTTTAAAACACTGTCTACATCTTAGTGTTCTGGCCCTTCAATATGGCTGTGTTTAATCATCATGAGTCAAAAAAGTAGTCGCACTGTAACTCTGTGAAGTTATAATTATTCTTATTATCTTACAGATGGAGAAACTGAGGCATAGAGAGGCAAGTAATTTGCCCAAAACACAAAGCCAGGAAGCCGCAGAATTTGTATTCAAGCCCAGAAGTCTGTCTCCTGATTTCAGCTGTTAATCCTCCTGAGGTCCTGTTTTTCTGCGGATCTTTTATCTGCCTCTCCCACCAGGATATATACTCCAGGGCCTTATGGGTCCAGTTCACCCCTATATTCTCAGCACTTAAGAAGGTGCCTGGGGAAGTGTGGGCACTCACTAAATGCTTGTTGAATTAAAACACTAATTTGAAAAGTAGTTTTTGAAATAAGAACTTCCCATTTCTGGGATTTATAAGACTTCAAATCTGATTTCTAGGGTACATATTTGGAGGTATGTGCAGGTAAGTAAATATAGCCTCTTCACAGTAGATTGAAAAGGTGAGGGGTTCTTTAGCTTAGCACTCTGAGCTATAATAGCCAATGGGGACAAACCCATAAGATTTCCTTGCCACCACTGTAAGACTATGACAATACTGTTTTTTTCATTGTGTATTGTTCCTTAGGAGTGATGATGACTGTCAGTTTTCTACTGCACTATGAGGAAGGGAGTGTCTTGGTGGTAAACAAGGTAAAGAGAAACAGGCTTTTTACTAAATTTCCTTAAGCCTTTCCACGTCTCTGACTTCCATCCCTGCTCTTTGCAGACACTAAAGAGAAAATTCAAAGGATTCCCAGCCTGTGGCAAACACTTTTGTTACAGAGCACTGGATGTATGCCTTTTTCTTGATGATAGAATTCTGATTAGTTTGGGGTACCAATGTATCCAGCCAAACACCTGCTTTTTCAGCCTCTTTTGCTGCTATGTGTAGCCATGCAGCAAGTTTCAATCAATGCAAAGTATGTAAAATTCTTTTGCTTTCCTGGTAATAGGAGACAAAAGTGGCTGAACCCCGTCTTTCCTCTTAATTCCAATTTGAGTGTGATGGCAGGAGCTTCAGCAGCAATCTTATAACTATGAAGAAATGGACAAGAGAATTACAGCAATGGCAACACTAACATTTTTCATAAATAGCAAATAATAAAAAAGGCAATAAAAAATAAAACCATGAAACTAACAAGAGAAGTAACAATAATAGTACAGCAGTGCTACTAAAATTCTAGCTAGCTATCACTGCCTACTGAGGACCCTGAGTTATAAAGCCTGTTCTTATTTAAAAAAAAAGAAAAGAAAATTAGCATGCTTTGGAGAGATTTTACAGATACATTAACATCAGACTAAACCTTCTTCCCTGACATTATTGGAAGACTTGAGAGAGATGTGAAAAGACAATCATCTTTTCATTCTGTGAATCAATATTATTTGATGCTCTGTGTGTGAACCATGGGAATCGTTTCACCTGCCATCAGGTATTCCTCTCACATTGAGGAAAACACTACCCCACGTGTTGTACAGATGAGGGCTTTGCCCAGAAAGAGAAAGCCACAGCTCTAGTTTCTAGCAGGTGATAGTATAGCACAGTGGTTAAGACCAGTGACTCTGGAATCAGAATACCTGAGTTCAAGTCCTGCCTCTACCACTTGTTAGCTGCATGGCCTTGGGGGATTGCTTGGCCTCTCCCAGCTTCCATTTCACTGACGATGAGTGAGGATGGTCATGTGGAAAGTGGGAATGGGGATCTAGGGATGTTGAGATGCAGTTGTCAGTGAAGGCCCGCCTCAGGGTACTCCCATAGAGATTAAAAGAAATAGCTCCTCCAGCCCTAACTTGGATTAAGTAGCCTCTGGTTTGAAGTTTGTCAGGGCAAAGCAGCCTAGGTTAGGGGCCAACAAACTGTAATCCACTTTTCAGGTTGAGGGTAAGGTCTACAAGCTAAGAACAGTGTTTACCTTTTTAAGGGTTTAGAGGGTTAAAGTTTATAAAGAAATAATTAACCAATAAAAACAAAGAAGCATGTGTGGCAGAGACCGTATGTAACCCATAAAGCCTAAACATTTATTATCCGGCCCCTTTACAGGAAAAGTTGGCCACCCCCTGGCTGAGTTCCCACACCCCAGCCCTCGTTTTCTGAAGACATCATCTGTTATCTTCCAGTCCTGGGAAGGGCAGAGCTAGGGGTTGGTGGCTCAGGTGTCTTTTCTCCCACTCCCCACCTGGTTATTTAGGTCAGGCATCTGGACAGAGGGAAGGGAGCAGGGGACCTGGGCCACAGACTGCCAGATTATCCGAAGTGGTGGGGGTCTGTCATTTCCTGAGGCTTTCTGTGGAGTGAGCTCGCTGGTCCAATGAACCAAAGATCTTCTCTCAGTGAAACCCGTAACTGCAGCAAAGATATGTCAGGCAGGCTCTGGTGTACTAGGAAAAATCCCACATATTGAAGTTAGGAGAAAAGTGAGTGAATTAACAAGCTAAGTCTTGGCTTGACCAGCAGGCCTTGGGTCACCCACCTTCCCTGCCACCCTCAGGAGCTGGCTCAGGGTCAAGTGATCCACGGCCACTGGTGCTCCTTGGGTAGGTTACTTACCCTTTCTGTGCACCAATGCACCCCCAGCACTCAGTCACTTAGAGAAAGGAATGTGGGCCTTCACCCAGCCCTTCCTCATCAAAGAGAGGAGTGCTCCATTTGGGATATATTCTCAGGAATGAGGCATGTTTCCATTTGGAAATGTGGTCTGGACTGGTCCAGATGCCTCGCTCTTTGATACTCCCTCACTGCTACCCTCCCATCACATCAGTTTCTTTTCATTTCCATCCTCCAGGCCTTTACCCTTGCTAAGCTCTGCCTGCTGAGTTCTTCCTCAGCTCCTCCCTATGTGACCTGTTCTCATCCTTTAGTACTCAGCTCAGCTGCCACCTCCTCAGCAAGACCTCTCTGACCACAGCAATCACTGCCATCTGCCCTGTGCCTCTTTCAGTGTGTTTCTCCCAGGAGAATGTCAGTTCCACGACAGTAGACACTACAACAGACTCTCTTGCTCATCACTGTGTTCTCAGGGCCTGGTCTATAGAGAGTGCTCAGGAATTCCTGCTTAAATGAATAAATGACTAATACATTTAATTTTGTGAACATTTATTAAATGTGTGTTATTGATGAAATGACCAATACATGGTTCCCAGTAGACAAGTAACAAACAAAAAGCAAATGTCACATTTACCTGAACAAGGAACACATTTAAAAAGTGATTAACCAACAAGTGAGTAAATTTTCCTGCAGTTCTGTAGTCCCTTACGTTGGTGTAGGGTTTGAGAATTTCTGAAGTGCTTTTCAATCTCTTCTTTCTTTGGACTCTTACACTAACTGCATGAGGAAGGCCTGGGTGGTGCAGGAGCTCCTCTGCAAAGGATGAAGCAGAGAGAAGGAGAAAGGTGAAGTGACTGGTTCTTTAGAATTCTTTCCCATTTCCCCACCCACTCAGTTATAAAAAATAAAAGAATACAGGGTTGTTAAATGGTAGCTCTGCAGTTCAAAATACCATTAAAACAGCAGATGTTTATCTAGGCAAAGTCTACAACTTTTGAGGTTCAGCTCCTAGGATTTCTTTCAGTATCAAAATGTAAGTATGCAAATAAGCTACAGAGCAAATACACCACACTCAGAAATCAATTACTCACCTATTTTAAATATCAAGAAGGTTGGAGTGGGATGCATATCAAGAGTTATCATAGATAACATATTTTTACAATAAATGACAAAAGACAATGATCAACCATTTATTTTGTGCCAAAGATAAAGTTTGATGTT